CGGAAGATAAAATGTTTATTGTGTTGTACCTTTTGACTCTAGTTTTAAGATGTATTGTATAGTGACCAAGAATCCTCGGCTCTGTAAAGTTAATTCGTTTGAGCCTTATCAAATAAATCAATGAACAACAAAACACTTTGCTGTTGTTATGGAAAATTTTGAAATAATTTTTAAAACCTGGCTCATTAGAACAGTCAGAACAAGTAATTGGAGCTAAGTTTAATGATTATTTTGTAGACAGTGTTTCATTGATTAATCAATCAATTGAATTGGTCGATGAACCTGACGAAATAAAACATCCACTTAATAGTAGTTGTAGATTTGAAGTTTTTCACCTAATTACATTAGATGAACTTAGAGTTATTTGTTTTTCGTTAGGAAAATCGACTGGAGTAGGTAATGTTAATGCTAGAGTTATTCAAGATTGCTTTCATGTCATTGGCCACATCTTGCTGGACCTTATTAATGAATCATTACAAACTGGACATGTGTCACAAATTTGGAAGGAATCCTTAGTGGTTCATATTCAAAAAGTTGCTAGAACGATTAAAGCTGAAGGGTTTCGTCCCATCAACATGTTGCACATATTAGAGAAAATTTTAGAACTTGTTGTTAAAGGCCACCTGTTGGAGTATTTAAATAGTAATAGCATTGAGGTAACTCTAAGGCTAGTAGGTCCCGAAGAAACGTGCTCAACTTTTTGACTCAGCTCTGGTACTATCTTCGGTCCCAGGCTAATCGATGCACCCCTCGAAACATGGGAAAATCCACGAACCTCTCATTTTATCTGTCAAACTTTCATAGCAAATCAAAACAAACATTGTGTAGTGCTAGAATTTTGAATAGAATTGGGTACGTTAATCGATTTGCTTGGGACCAATAGGCTAGTCAAGTAGTGAGCCAATTTAAGATCGTTAGTTTCAACCGGTTGGTATTAGTTTGTTGATACCAGAACAATAGGGATATCGGGAAGGTCATTCTTGTGAAACCGCGTTGAATTTGGTATTAGTGAAGTGGAAAATTAACTTGGAGTGTAAAGATACGATTGTTGCTGTTTTTTTGGATCTTAAACGCGCTTTTGAAACAATTTCTAGGCCCTTATTGTTGAGATCAATCAAGCGCTTTGGAATTACGAGTACTGCATATAAATGGTTTAAAAGCTATTTGTCTGACAGAACTCAACGGACTGTTTTTAATGATTATGTTTCCAGTCCCGTGGGGAATAACCTTGGAGTGCCCCAGGAAAGTGTATTAGGGTCCCTGTTATTTATTATGTATATTAATGACTTGCGACGTGTTTTACGATTTTGCGACATTAATCTTTTTGCAGATGATACTGTGTTATTCATTGCAGCTAAGGATTTAGATTAACTTGAATGAAGATTTGTGTTCTCTTAGTGTTCTCTTAGTGTTCTCTTAGTAGGTTGAAGTATAAGCAGTTGAAATTGAATACAAGTAAAACTAAATTTATGGTAATTTCGCGGAATCGATTAAATGAGAACGTCTCTGTTGTAATTGATGATGAGACTTTTGATTGCGTTCGGGAGATCAAATATCTTGGCGTGATTATTGATGACAAACTTAAGTTCAACTCTCACATTGACAATGTCATCAGGAAAATTGCCAAGAAGTATGGAATTCTATGCCGACTGAAAAACGATTAAACTATTGCCAGAAAAATACAACTACCTATGCAAATCAATCATCTCTCCTCATCTAGACTTTTGGCCCTTCCATTTTATTTCTGTCCAATGAAACACAAAGTACTCAAACTATGAGTGACCTACGTTTTAGCGATTTTGAGTCATATGAACTCAACTCTGGGTAGCATTTTTTGTCCATGTGCTAATGGGTTAGAAAGTATTTTTTTTTCTAAATCATTAAATATAAACTCACGCCGACGACCGCCGGCTTGGGTGCGCAAAGTTTACACAGGCAACTCTCCCTAGCTCGATATTTAACATCCGATTGACATCGCCAAAGTACATCTATAAGTGTACCCCATCATCGTACTAGAATATGTCAAAGTTTGTGTTTGTTTTGATTCGCCTTATAAATTTGACAGTGTTTAATGAGGGGTGCGTGGATGTTCTACGTTTCAAAGGGTGCTTTAATAAGCTTGGGAACGAAGGTTTGGTACTTCCTGAGCCAAAGAGTTGAGCATGTTTCTTCGTGACCCCTGGTTTTAGTGTTAGTCTATGGTAATAGCCCCCTTTCACTGTGGTGTGTAAATCAACTTACTAAGGTTGTGTTAATCTGAAAAATGCTTCTGCGATTTTCTGTACACGTAATGTATATATATAATTAAAGGGTGATACGGTCAAAATTTGGTCAAGGGAAAACGCGTGTAAATCGGTGAAATCGTTTATTTAAAAAATCAAATTAAATTTCTTTTTCAAGTTCAATTAGTATAAAATTCAGGAAAAATATTCAGTTAGGCTTCCGCTTTTCCAAATCCGAATTGCCGGGCCTTACGCTTGACCCCTGCCATCAGATTTTGTACAGCCACCTTGTCCACCTTCTTCGCCGCAGAAAGCCAGTTTGTCTTGAACTGCTGCTCGCCCTTAGCAGTTTTTTGGTCTTCTTTAGGTTCCGCTTGACAATAGCCCAGTATTTCTCAATTGGGCGGAGCTCTGGCGTGTTGGGAGGGTTCTTGTCCTTGGGAACCACCTGCACGTTGTTGGCGGCGTACCACTCCATGGCCTTTTTACCGTAATGGCAAGATGCCAAATCCGGCCAAAACAGTACGGAACAACCGTGTTTCTTCAGGAAAGGCAGCAGACGTTTATTCAAACACTCTTTCACGTAAATTTCTTGGTTGACAGTCCCGGACGCTATGAAAATGCTGCTTTTCAAGCCACAGGTACAGATGGCTTGCCAAACCAGATATTTCTTTGCGAACTTTGACAGTTTCATGTGCTTGAAAACATCTGCTACCTTTCCCCTTCCTTTTGCCGTATAAAACTCCTGTCCCGGAAGCTGCTTGTAGTCGGCTTTGACGTAGGTTTCGTCGTCCATTACCACGCAGTCAAACTTCGTCAGCATCGTCGTGTACAGCCTCTGGGATCGCGCTTTGGCCGTCGTATTTTGTTTATCATCGCGATTTGGAGTCACTACCTTCTTGTAAGTCGATAGTCCGGCTCGTTTTTTGGCTCGATGCAAGGTTGTAGACGATACACCCAGCTTATTTGCGGCATATCGGAGAGAGAGGTTAGGGTTTCGCTTGAAACTACCGGCAACTCTCTTTGTCGTCTCAGCGGCTTCCGGTTTTCGATTTCCCCCCGATCCAGACTTCCTGGCTGTCGACAAACGTTCCCCAAACACTTTAATTACATTTGTAACGGTTGATTTGGCAACTTTTAGCGATTTTGCCAACTTTGCGTGCGAGTAGCTCGGATTTTCGCGATGCGCGAGCAAAATTTTGATACGCTGCTCTTCTTGCTTGGACGGCATTTTGACAACTGAAGAGTGAATTCCAAAATCAAAATAGGAGCAACATTCTACACACACACACCTTCAAAATGAGGGGTGTTCAGGTTTTTTAAATGCAAAATTGAAAGAAATACGTCACCGTATCACCCTTTAAAAATTATAACCTAGAAAGAAAGCCCAAGCGTTTCTCACTGAGTTGCATGCTGCCTCAAATTTCCACCGGATTGAACAAGAAGATCCATAAAAAATCTATTTTATGGATTAGCATCATTGAATGACAGTTATACACTCCGTTCGAAACTGTTCCCGAATTACACATTTGCAAACAGTGTCATTATTATTCAACTTCCCGGTCTACTGTTGCGCTCTAAAATCGAACGGAACGGAACACGACGACAAACAATGTATACAAATTGTCATCATCGATAATCGATATAAATCGCTTTTGATCGCTCTCAATTCATTGCACACTGGGCCAGTCATTCAAGCGTCGCAGCCTACCATTCAAAAACCGCAATCACGGAATTGCCATTGGGAACGAATCAATGAAAATTTGCACAAATTGCTGCCACCCCGGAAAACATGGATAAAATTATGGCAACCACAAAAGACACTAAGCACCGCGATCATCGGTTAGCTCATGTTACGATTTGATCCATCAATAAAAAATAATAAAAAACCAATTGATCATCTCAATTTAGAGCGCGATTCAGAACCGATTTGCAATCGAGTCGTTCTTCAACAGCGGGTTTAGTCCATTACATCGATCAGGGTGCCAAAATAATGGATCAACAGGTGTTTCGATTCCAATGACGAGCATTCAAGAACATCCACCGAACTTTTATGAGACGCAGCTTGAATCATTCCATTTACAGAGAGGTACCGTTGTTTGCGGATGGAGTTTTAGCTGGTATTCGTTTTTTCTGGTTTCTGGTAATAAAGGAACTACTGAAGACCAAGCAGCTAAATAGGCATTGGTAAACAAGGAATAGCACCTAAAACTCCATCCGCATACAACGATACCTCTCTGTAATACCGATTCGCCATATGCTTTCGGAGGCTTACTCATGTTTTAAAGTTCAAGATCAGTCTGATCAAATCATTCGCATTTATCCTCACCTTGACTTGACGGTAGAGTAGGTACAATTTTCTCTCCACATTCAATTTCATCTCTCGCAGGAATGACTATAGCTGCATCGTTGGCCGCCCCGTGGAGATGTGCAACCGTTGAACCCCTTTTTACCCACTTTGAACTTGAGCTTCCAACTGAGCACATTACTTACAACCACTTTCAATCAAGGTGAAATTGTTGCACAAGTGGCCAGCATCGCTTGGGGAGGCACGCCAATCAAATCCATTTATCAAGATCGAACCTTTCAGAAAACCTTTTTAATCGCGTGCTTTCGAGATCTTACATTCACAGAAAGTCCACAGTTAGCAATTATCCGGGGAAAAAGAAGGGGCAGTCGAAACGTTTTCAAGACTTTTTATCACTGCTTCTTGGTGTTAATAAATGTAATTGATTTTTTTTTAAATAATAATAAATGTTTCTCTTAACTTTCTTGCAGGGCTACCGAGACGAGATGCTGTCGGAGGAGATGAGTTCACTGGTGCCACCGGGGCTACAGGGTAAGGCGGACATCCTGTTCGGGAATCTGCACGAGCTGTACACCTTCCACAATGATATTTTTCTCAAGGATCTGGAGAACTGTATTTCCACCACCGAACTAGTCGCATTGTGCTTCGTGCAGAGGGTGAGTATATGAGGATAGTTGTTGTTCTAGTATATTGGCGAGCAGTTCCATGCAAATGTTTTATTTAGAATTGTTAAAAACATTTGTATGTATATTTTTTCCCAGAAAAAACATTAATATTCTACACAACTTTGTCTTGGACGTCATTTCGATCAGAAATGCCGATTCCATGCTACAATTTTTTATTAAAATTTTAAATTAGGCATTTTGAAAATTTTACAAGATCAAAAATGGCCGGGTTTAGCAAAAATGTGAATCATTGTCCATAACAAACAATTATGCAAAGTTTCATGCAAATCGGAGAAGGTCGAGTTTATCCGTCTGGTCATTTGTTCTACAACATTGCACTGGTCTATCTTAAGTAATTAAAAGTTGATATTTTGAAATCAATAACCATAAGGAGCAACCACGTAGACAATTTTTTAATATTTTTGACCCCCTACCTCTGCGCAGACAATTTCCCATACAAAAAAATTTAAATTTGTATGGGCCGTGAATAATTGCCAACCCCCCCCATAAACTGTCTACGTAGTTTATGAACAGCCCCTTAGTATAAAAGTTGTTTATACGGACGCGAGTATAAATCCATGTTATGTCCACTTTGTATTGACTATTAGTAAACAATGACTTCTCTCGTTGATTTATAGGGATTCAAGTCACGCCTCAACAAACCAACATATCCATAGAGTAGGGGAAGTCTTCCCCTACTCGATGGTGATGTTGATTTGTCAGGGAAAGCCATGACATGAAATCATCGAGATATATTTTTGGCCAGCTAGAATGGCCACTGTGCGCCGAACACCAACGAATAATGCATTTTATCGATAGCCAACACCCAACTCTCGAAAGTCGCCCGTTATCATTCATAGCTAACTTTGTATTTTTTTTTTTTAAATCTTCTATTCCAGCGGGACACGTTCTTCCGGCTGTACTCGTACTACTGTCAGAACATTCCGCGCTCCGAACGGCTCCGGGAAACCCTGGTCGACACGCATCTGTTCCTGCAGGAGTGCCAGAAGAAACTCGGCCACAAACTTCCACTCGCCGCCTACCTGCTCAAACCAGTACAAAGGATCACCAAGTATCAACTTCTCTTAAAGGACCTGTTAAAGTAACGTTTTTCGTATTTCTTTCAGACTTTTACTTTTACCAATCGCTTTCCAGTTTAAATTCATTACACCCCACAGACAGGATGGTTCCACAATTCGCTAATGTTTCTTTTTATGTCGTTTATGTTTATATTTTTCCTCCCGCGCCTCTTTCTCTGGTGATTGTGATCCCGAATGTCTTGCTTTGTCCGTGAAATCGAAATATCCTCTCTGAAAACTATCTAGATTCAGTGACACCGGAACGTGTTCCCGGGAGCTGCAGAAGGCGTTGGACTGCATGCTGGTGGTGCTCAAGTGCGTCAACGATTCGATGCATCAGATTGCAATAACTGGTTTTCCGGTAAGTAGAGCAGCGTTTCAGCGTACAGCAATGTGTCCACACAACGGCTTTCGCTTATCGCTGTCCCCCCCACCATTTTCCCTCATCATTCACCTTACCAAATGCAAACCGATGAACCCGGCCGATGATGGCCGGAACTGGCTTTCATCAGCCGCTACCATAAACATCTCATTTGCATATTGCGTTTATCACCACGCACTAACTCAGGGAGTTAACGAGGGTTGGATTTAGGAGCGATAGTAATGCACCTTTAAGGTTGCTCCTTTCTCCTTAATCCAAAGCAGGGTCATTACCACTGCAAAAATGACAACCAACGGGTAAGTTCCAAAAACAAAAAGCAAATTTCTTTTTTCACGCCTCCGTAGGCCGACCTCTCCCAGCAGGGTGAACTACTGATGCAGGATTCGTTTCAATTGTGGACCGAAAGCAAGAAAGATCTCCGGTTGCGACTGAAAACTCAACATCGGCACATATTCCTATACCAGAAAGCGATGCTGTTCTGCAAGCAAGGCTCGAAAACCGGCCACAACAAGAGTACCTACCAGTTCAAACACTGGCTTCAGGTCTGATGCCCCATCCAACCGCCACACCTCGGTGCACTTCTTGACTAATGAATGAGCTTTTGCCCTTGTTTGCTTGCTTTTAGATGTCCCAAATCGGTCTAACGGAATCGGTACGGGGCGACCCACGGAGGTTCGAAGTGTGGCTCCAAGGTCGACAGGAGGTGCACACGATACAGGCCAACACGGTCGAAATCAAGAACAAGTGGGTGGCGGAAATCAAACGGGTGCTGCTCAATCAGCTCGAGGAGCTCAAGGGGGAGAAGATCAAACAGTACGGACTGAATCACAAGTGAGTACGCAATTTGGTCTTCGCTCGTGAGCTATTTATAGGTGGTGTTTGTAAACCGTTTAGGCAAGGAGTCCACTGATTTAGCGGCGGTGTGGCATCTGCTAGTATTAAAAAAAAAACCGTGTCCGACAACGACATGATGTTTATGATGCCACAACGTCGCCACACTAGTAGTGGACGCCTGGTCTACCCAACCAGCTGCCAATTGTTGCACATTTTACATTGTTTACTGTGTAGCATTTATCCATAACCATGTCGTTTACCGATCATCGTGACATGATAATCAGTGATCAATTGTTGAATGAAAAAAAATTGTGTTTCTCATACTAGAAGTATTAGAAATATTGTTATAAAACATGTTTTAAATGTTGATAACATGGTGCACATGATTTCGGCCGAATCCTTAATTTTTCAGCTAATAATCCTCAGTTGTAAAATAAGCTATTACTAGCTCAAAATGCAAATAAACTAAGTAATATGTACAGGAAACGGTTGGTTATTCTGTTATCTAACGATCAATTGCAATACATCTATCAAACATGAAAAAATTACAGAAACAATATTAATGTTCAATAATTGGATCACATGTCGACTCTTGGTTTGATAACGCCTAAAGGTATGCAACGTTTCATATAAAACAGCTGCTGCGTATTTTGTGGTTCGAATATACTGCCGCTTTTCGCATGTCCGTCCCATGGCGAAAATCGGCAAGCCGAGAAAATTGCGTTTTAAGTTTGCTTCGTACCATTGATTCTTATGTGATGGGACAACCAATGTGACTGTCTTTCCAAACTTTTTCAGAACAAAGTTGATGAGTTCATCCAGTATTATGAAAATATGGGTAATTAGCTACCATTTGCATTGAAAAACTCAGTTTTGACAAAAACGACTATGGGACCGACATGCGAAGAGCGGCAGTATAGGCGAATTCAAAAGAAACTAAGCGATCGTTTCTCGCGCAACACGAGAAAAGGGCCTATCATTGTTGATCGATTCTCTTCATCGATTTTCTTTTTCGCGAATAACCCGACTGCAAATTAATTTCATATTGAGTTTGTTGTTCCAGGCGCAAGTTAACATCATCTTCTATCGAACTGTGCTGCGAGCTTAGCGAGAAATTCGTTTATGTTGCCGTGGTAAACCAAAGAGAAAGCCAATGAAGAGAATCGATCAACGAGGATAGGCCCTTTTCAAATGTTACGCGAGGTTTCAGCCCCTGGCGGTTAATAGGGGAACCCTCAAAAGAGCGATTAGGGCGGACATTTTCACCGTGAAGCATACACTGTACACAAACATCATCCTCTGATCGAATGAAACCTCAGACCATTCAAAACAAAACACCGAAATCGCTTTTTCGAATGATAGCTGCTACCGGATGACGGTTGATTTGAAATCAGATGATTTTCCTATCGACTACAGGATGAAAATTGTTATGAGAAGAAACCGGGCCTTCAGTTGAAATGCGTAATGCTCTCTGCAGAATGACTGTCATACTAAATGGAAATGCATATGTTATTGGTTCAGCCCCATAACGAAAATCATTCAAAACGATGATGTAAATAATTCTATCGAGCGTCATTTGCTGATCGGAGCTGACAAACGAGGTGGAAGGATATGCATCGCTATCAGAGCTGTTACGAACATAGGTAAAGGATGAAAACCAATGTTTGGCTAATTCGTGGTGGAGGAGGTTTTCTCCACCACGAAAATTTTTTGTGTCCATAATGGAATAGCTTATTATGGCTATTCAGTATGAATTGTAGATAGTAAAATTATAAATCTAATTAAAAGCACTTGCATGTCACACTATTCTTAAATATTTGTCCTCTGAGTGCCGTATGTTTTATAGCTAATTTTCAAACCAAAATCATCCTGTATTTGGATGACAGTCATATGGATGTTCATCATCTGACGACGAATTCAACCATAAGAAAATCATCCGAAATTCGAATATATATTGTTAAAGGGCTCGAGCAATGCAATAATCATTCGAAGTATTGCGGATGTTTTGGTTCAGTGTAGGAAGAGGAAAATATTGTCACCGTTCCTGATTAATTTATCCACCGCAGGTGCTTGAAATCATCATCCACGTGGAATATTTTGTTTTCTGTATCGGGTTTGCAGTGATCCGGCTGGTGCTTCCATATATTTTGATGAGAAAAATTCAAGCTGAACATTGCATTAGGTCCTAAGTAACATTGACAGATTCTCTTCGTCGACTTTCTCTTTGTATCCCTAAGGCCATGTAAAGACATTCCCAGGTATTTTTAGCACTCAAATCGATAAAAGAAGCTTTTATCAAGCGTCTAATACGACAAACACAACAAGACACGGTTATGTGCTCAAGTTATTAACGAAAGAGACAAAGAGAATCGATCAATGTTACTTAGAACCTAATGCAATGTTCAGTTTGAATTAAGATTTATTAAATTGTTCCAGCGGTTATGATCTTCCGGGTAGGCTCTTTCCATGCACTATCAATGGCACTATATACAATTTTTAAAGAAAATGTCATCCAATCCATTTGTGTACATCATAATGACGATTTTCAAAACTCAAAACAATGTACATTTCTCGCACAACACGAGAAAAGGGCCAATGATTGTTGATCGATTCTCTTCGTCGATTTTCTCTTTAGCGAATAACCCGACTGCAAATGAATTTCCCATTCAGTGTGTTGTTGCAGGCGCAAGCTAACATCATCTTCTGTCGAACTGTGCTGCGAGCTTAGCGAGAAATTCTTTTATGTTGCCGTGGTAAACCAAAGAGAAACTCGATGAAGAGAATCGATCAACGAGGATAGGCCCTTTTCAAATGTTACGCGAGATTTCATTGCACAACTTGCAAATTTCCATCGGGAGTGGTCTTATTTTTCGATTATCTACAGAGCTGAACTGATTTACAGCTGAAATAACCACACATTAAAAATCCGGATGATTATAACCGCAGGGACAATTTAATAAATCTTAATTTTTCTCATCAAAAATATATGAAAGCACCAGCCAGATCACTGCAAACCCGATACAGAAAACAAAATATTCCACGTGGATGATGATTTTAAGCACCTGCGGTGGATAAATTAATCAGGAAACCTGATGAATGTGGGCGTCTTAGTGGAATACCTGTATAATGAGAGAGAGAGAAGGATTAGTAATTTCCATTTAATTCCATTACCTTATTTGCTTATCCTTGACAGATACGCGTATTTCGTCTACAATGTGCAGACTTCTTCAGTGTCTTGTACTAATACTCGACTGGTCGTAAGTCGAGTATTAGTACAAGACACTGAAGAAGTCTGCACATTGTAAACGAAATACGCGTATCTGTCAAGGATAAGCAAATGAGGTAGTGGAATTAAATGGAAATTACTAATCCTTCTCTCTCTCACTATAATCAGGAAAGGTGAAAATATTGTCCTCTCCCTATATGCTTCACGGTGAAAATTTCCACCCTCATCACTCTTTTGGGGTTCCCCTTTTAACCGCCAGAGGCTGAAACGATCGCTTAGTTTCTTTTGGATTCGCCTATACTGTGATGGGCAGTACGCTGAACAGATGGCGGTAGCGTGTAAACGTCAAACGCAAGGGAATTTACTATGCGCGTCACAGTTGACGGTACCACCGACAAACCGACATGAAAGTTAAACTTAACTCTTGATCGAGAATCCATAACGGCGGATTCAAATGTGCAGCGATCCCATCTGTCAAAACCATATAAATTTGTTATCTAGATAATAAAAAGTTGCCCGGCATAGATTAGACACGAACCAACTCATACATTTTGTATGGGTTTTCGTGGCTAGGATACACATTTTTCGCGAACACGGCGGCAGATGTCAGTTGTGTGCTTTGATCACAAATTTGATGGTACTTTGTTTGGTCATTCATGTCGGTTTGTCGGTGACGGTACTACCATAGAGGTAACTCTAAGACCAGAAGGTCCCGATGAAACGAGCTCAACTTTTTGGCTCGGCTCTGGTACTATCTTCGGTCCCAAGCTAATCGAATTGCCCCTTGAAACATAGGAAAATCCACTAACCCCTCATTTTATCTGTCAAACTTTCATAGCGAATCAAAACAAACATAGTGTAGTACTAGAATTTTGACTAGAATGGGGTACGTTAATCGTATGCTTGGGACCAAGAGGCTAGTCAAGTAGTGAGCCAATTTAAAATCGTTAGTTTCGTATTGATTGTTGGTACTACCAACCTGGGTACTGCGGAGTCGACCAATTTTATTTTGCAAGCCAACTGCTTGAAAATTTTCTCAAGTTTAAAACTGGTTTGCTCTTTCTCAGTTGATTCCCGCCAAAAGCTCTGAGCCAGGAGTGCTCGAGCCCCCCTCTATCAAAGTTTGTTTACATACGTGTTTCGTAAAGGATTGTTTTACTGTAATTGAAAACTCAGCTGCCTCATAAAAATTATGCTGGTTTTTATACTTTCATCACTGAGCCTGTAGGTTTTTATCTTTGAGCTTAAAATTAAGAATGTGTTATGAAAAAGTATAGATCATGTTTATGAGATTACATTGCTTGACGGTAGATAAGAACAGTAACTGTTGCTGCTTCCGAATGTTTGGCACCCGCTTTGACAGTTCACACTGGCTCCCAAGTGACAAGCACCTTGAGTGAGTCCGCAGTACTCAGCTACCAACTAAAAAACATTTAAAAATGCGTGTTCGATGAACAAATTGAGCGTGTTATCAAAGAAGAATACTAAGATGAAACAGCCGCAAGAAAAACTTTATATTGCAGTGTCCTCTTTCACGGTCCCTTTCATCCAATGAATACCCCTCGTATGCAAGGTAATTTTGTGGCTATGATGCCCCTCGGTAGAGTTGAAATTTTGCGCTTTTTTATCAAAACAATCACATTAAAATCAGAGATTTTCGCGTAACATTTGAAAAGGGCCTATCCTCGTTGATCGATTCTCTTCATCGACTTTCTGGCGCGCCCTTCCAGGTATGAGTGCGCTAATTTTTTAAATACATCGTAGCAATTTA